ATAATGCAGAGGAACGAATAAGTGACCTAGAAACAGGACAATAGGAAGCACCCAATCAGAACAGCTGAGAGAAAAAATAAAAATAATGAAAACAATACAAGGGACCTATGGGATAATATAAAGTGTGCCAATCTACACATAATAGGGGTTCGAGAAGGGGAAGAAAGAGCAAAGGGGATTGAAAAGGTATTTGAAGTAATCACGACTGAAAACCTCCCAAACCTAAAGAAGGAATCAGCTATCCAAGTACAGGAGGCTCAGAGGGTCCCAAACAGGAAAAACCCAAACAGACCCACACCAAGATATATCATAATCAAGATGGCCAGAGTCAAGGATAAAGAAATGATCCTGAAGGCAGCAAGAGAAAAACAAAGAGTGAGGTACAAGGTAACCCCCATAAGGATCTCAGCTGATTTCTCTACACAAACACTACAGGGCAGAAGGGATGGCAAGATATATTCAAAGACCTGAATGGAAAAAAGATGCAGCCCAAGATACGTTATCCAGCAAGGTTATCTTTTAGAATAAAAGGAGAGATAAAAAATTTCACACACAAGAAAAACTAGAAGAGATTAGCACACTAAATCCATGCTGAAAGAAATATTGACAGGTCTAGTCTAAACAGAAAAGAAGCAGAATGCTACAAAAACGAGAAACGCATAACTGGAAAGGTGATAACTACCATGAATTCCAAATAGAATAAACACAAAATTGTAAAAGAAGACATCTAAATCATTAAGAGTGGGAGAGGGAAGCAAGGAAATATACAGTCTTTTTTTTTTCCTTTTTAAAATTTTTTGTTCTCAGTAGGACAGGTTTGAGTTTATATTACTATCTGTTTAATACAAACAGTTATAATAATGGGCTAATAGACTTACAAAAAAGGGTAACCACAAGCCAGAAACTTACAAATGAGTCACAAAAACTAAATAAAATCCAAGATAATACAAAGGAAAATTACCAAAACCACAAAATAAAGAAGAAAGGAACAAAGACTAAATACCAAATCAACTGCAAAAATAAGTTCACAATGGCAACAGACACACATCTATCATTAATTACTGTAAATGTTAATGGACTAAATGCTCCAGTCAAAAGACTTTGAGTGGCAGACTGGATAATAAAGCAGGAATCTTCAAATGCTGCATACAAGAGACCCACTTTAGGCAGAAGGACACATATAGATTGAGAGTGAAAGGATGGAAAAGGATATTCCATGCAAATGGAAAAGCCAAGAAAACAGGTGTAGCAGTACTGATTTCAGACAAAATAGACTTTAAAACAAAGGCCATAAAGAAAGATAAAGAAGGACATTTTATAATGATTAAAGGAGTGATACAAGATGAGGATATTATACTTGTTAATATATATGCACCCAATATAGGATCACCTGAGTACATAAAGCAATTACTAACAGAGATAA